GCTGCGGCTCAGGGGCGCGGGGCGGAGGCGGCGGGCGGCCGGGGCGCGCGCAGGGAGCTGCGCCGCATTTTGGAGAAGTATTTATAATGCAGCGGCGCCGGTGCAGTCGCGGCGCCCGGGGTCCCGCAGGGTCCTAGCGTCCACTGCATTGGCTGCCGAGGGTCACCATGTGATCTCGGGGGTGGGAGCAGACGCCGCCTCCGTGCCAGCCCGATGGCACACTTGGCGCTGCGCGGCGGGCGGCCCTCGGGAGCTCGCCCCGGCTGTGGCAGTGAAGGTGCGAGGGGTCCGGGGTCAGCGCGCGGGCGAACCGAGGAGGAGACGGGGATCCCCGGCCCGAGGGGCGAAGCTCGACCGAGGGCAGCGCGTGACAGGCGCCTTCCACCCCGCCCCTGAGCGCCCGCGGAGTGGCTGCTGCGCTCCGGCCGCCTTGTCCGCAGGAGCGGGTCCTCCTCCTCCGCAGCCGCTGGCACAGTCACGGCAGTGTCCCCATCTCCGCCCCTTTGTCTGAGCGCGGCGCCCCGCCGAGGTCCTTGGAAGGGGCACCGCGGCCCCCGCCCCCGGACTGGCGCCCCGGGAGCTCGCGCTGAAGCGACTGCAGCAGTGGGGACGCGGCCCGAGCGCGGGGTGATGCCCGCACCGCCTGCCGCAGGGCCGCACCCCACGGCGCTCCAATCCGACACCCGACGTTCCCCGCAGCAAGCGTAGGGGATTGCAGGACCCCTCCCGGTCCCCCCAACCTCCGCCTCCGGCTGCCCGCGCATGCGCCCCGTAGCCTCGGTGCAGGTGTAGAGGGGCTCGCGTCTGAGCCGGGTCCTCACGGTCCCCCAGAGCAAGACCTGCAGACGCAGCAGGCTGGGCGCGGGTGGAGTGGGGGCGTCTTCGGTGGGGGGACGCGTGGTGGCAGACCCCATTCTCAGCCCCCTGCGGTTTTGCCCCTCTTCCCTGGGTCACACTGATGGGCAGCCGAAAGCCGAGTTCCCCACGTCCTCGCGGGGACCATGTGGCCCCTCATTCTGTGTTGCACCATGAAGTTGGAGCCGGCTGAGCTGCTAAGGTCACCTAGAGGCCGGAGGGGGCCTGGCTTGAGACTGGAACGAGAGCGTGGGGTGTGGAGAATCCACCACCTGGGTCTCCAGCGCAAGGGCGCTGGGGGGAAGAGGGGCGCGCTGGCAAGGACCCCCCCCCATGTTTCCAATACACAGAAACATGCCATGACCTTCCAGGACACTGACGTAGAAACTCCAGGGGTCTCAAAGGGACTCACTGATGGCTTGGACGGTGCCTGAACCCGCGGAAGACACTGAGCTGCCACAGTGGCCGCACCCGGGTCCTGGGTTGGCTAGGTGGTCTGCAGGAGCAGCGCCGGCGTGCAAGGGGGTTCAAACAGGAAAGAACAGGCTCTGTGTCTTGAAAGGGTCTGGGGGATCAAATGAGAAAAGACTAGAACGCAAGCTCGCTCCCCAGGAGTTCCTGCGCTGGGCCTGATGGCCTGGGTGTCAGTGGGGCCCAGGTAGAGGGCCTTGAGAGCAAGGTGCTCCAGCCTCGACAGGGCCACAGCCTCGGCTGGCTCCTCCCCAGCTCGCCCAACACCCTGAGTCTGAGCTATGCTTGTCCTGCATCGCCAGGCCCAAAGGACCGAGGCTGGCACCAGCGGGGCCTTGATGGGCCCTCAGGTCCGCAGAGGCCCCTTCCTGTGGTCGGCCTGACCGCACCCCGTCTCCTGGAACCGTGGCGGGGGCCAGTGCTGCAACCCGCCAGAATGCAGCAGAACCACCTGTAAGTCCGGCCAGGGCCGGACCCCAGGAACAGCCATTTGGAAGGGTCAGGTTGGAGCTACGCAGAGATTGACCGGTCAGCAAGCCCCAAGGAGCCTGGTTCTTCCCTGTTGTGGGGCGCCCTCTGCCGGTAGCCCTCAGGTCAGCCCCAGGTGGTAGCCCCAGGTGGTGTCAAGGTACACTTTACAGACCCCAAAGTCGAGACTGAAGCTTCACCTTGACTGCACCCACCCCCCGGGAGCCACTGCCTCCCCTAAACTCCCAGCAAAGGCCTACGTACTCCTCCGCAGTCAGCTTCCAGAGACCCTGACTGGCCCTCTTCCAGCCCCCAGTTGCTGACCTCGCCTTCCCAGAGCCCAGGAGTACCTTCCTGAGGCACCCAGAAGTAGAAAAGACCTCCACCCAAAGTTCAGAGGTATGAGGGGGGCATCCTGGCCTGTGTCACCTAAACAGAACTGCCCTCCACCTCCTGGGGTGCCCTAAGGATGCTGGGGGCAGAGGTCTTGTCCTTTGGGGTAGGGTCTGTGGGGAAGGAAGAGATTGGGGCTGGAAATGGAGGAAAATTATGGCCACTTCCAAGCCCCACAGCCAAGTCAGTCCCCAGAAATGACCCTGGGAGGGACAGGCCAGCTGAGGGACTGGGGTCTTTTAGAGAGTAGAACCCAAAGACCAGGATACCCAAAGAAAAGAGGGGAAAAAAAAAAAAAAAAAAAAAGGCACAAAGTATCACTAACAAGACGCCATTCAAACAGGAAGGACAGCAATCATCTCCCCCAACCAGAGGACCTGGACTCCAGACTTAACTTACCCCAGCACTGAGTGAGAAAATTGTCTTCCAGACACAACCCTTCCCAGAAAGGCCACCCCAGAGCTTCGTCTCCTAAGAGCCACCTGCTTCCAGCACATGGAGGCAAGGGAGTTCCAGGGTGGGCCTCACCATCCACCCTTTCAGCTCAGATCCAGAGCCCTCAGCCTGCGTTGGGCCCTGACCAAATTCTCATCCTAGCGCATGGAAATAAGTTAATAAAAACAGTCTAGTACCCATTAGGGATAAACCCTTAAAGGGGGATAGCGGCTCACAGTTGTAATCCTAGCACTTGAGGTGGACACTGAAAAATCAACGCTTCAAGGCTATCCTTGGCTACAAAGCAAGTAGAAGGCCAGCCTGAGCTACATGAGACCCTCTCTAAAAAGAGCTGGGCATGGTGGCACATGCCTTTAATCCCAGCACTTGGGAGGCAGAAGCAGGCAGACCTCTGTGAGTTCCAGGCCAGCTGGGGCTACAAGGAGAACCTGTCTCAAAAAGACAAAAAAAAAAAAAAAAAAAAAAAAAAAATACAGGACACTAAGCTAGAATTCTGGGTAAACAATATTTTTAGTATAAGTACATCTAAAACATTGTGTGACTATTAAAAAAAAGGTGCTGTTTCTGTATTTGACTTGCTAAATCTGGCAACAGAAACCTAGAACAAGGCTATTGTACTGGCCTCCCTTGCAGCTATAAATGGTCACATGACTGAGATCAACCCTGAACAGGAGTACAGGCCTGCATCCTCTGCTGAACCCAGAACAGGGGCTAGGTTGCCACAGCACACCTGGAACATGCCCAGCCATGGTCTCAGCTCCTTCAAATCTCCTCTGCCCCATTTTAGCTGTGAGCATCCTTACTGTGAACATCCAATACTGTGTCCTTACCACTGTGTGAGATGCTCAAGGGATTCCTGTGTTCCTCTGGCCCCCAGCACCTAAAGATCTCCTATGGAGACTGCAGGCCTGGTGTTGCCAGGCCATTGCAGGAGATGTCAGCAATCAGGAGCACTGAGCAAGGACATCTACAAGCAAGGGTTACAAAAACCCCTAGGGGACAGCCTGGAGGCTGGGCCCTGTGAACCCAGTTCAGCCTCTTCCCAGACAGTGGACAGGGAATGTCCATTCTACCCACTGGTGTCCTGCCTGGGGTGAGAGACAGTTAAACTGTACCCCTACTGTGCCCCTGAGTGTTTCCAACAGTGTGTGCATACCTAACTTTGATTTTTTTTTTTTTGTCTTTTTAAGACAGGGTCTCCTTGTAGTCCCAGCTGTCCTGGAACTCACTATGTAGACCAGGCTGGCCTCGAACTCCCAGAGATCCACCTGCCTCTGCCTCCCCGAGTGCTAGGATTAAAGGTGTGCACCACCACACCCTGTGTAACTTTGATTTTTAAAAATCGTTAATTTCACTTTCACAAACTTTTAAGTAAAGGGAGGAATGTTATCTTTGATACCTGGAGAAGGACCTGCTAAGGGTTCAGTGTAGATGTGAGAGGGAGTCATCAGTACCCATCCAGAAGTCCCTGGTTCCCAGGGGCCAAGTTTGGGGATGCAAGTGGGACCAGCCGGCAGGGCAGAGGCTGTGGGAACGATCCCAGCGCCCCTTCCCTGGAAGGTGCCCTCACTCACTGTGCTCCCTCTCCAGCAGCCCCAGGCTGGGGTTCCAGAACTTGGCCTCCATGGAGCCATCCCCACTCCAGTGCAGAGACCTTTCACCGACTCAACCCTGGTGCGTCTTCCATGGGGACTCAGAGAGGTCAGGCCAGCTTCAAGTCTCCCCTTGACCTTCAAACAAGAGCTGGATCTCCAGCCAGAGTTACATCTGAGCAGACGGATTCACTGCAGTGTCCAGGGCCTGTGGGGCCCTGGGAGTCAATGAACAGGCACCTAGACTTCAGCACTGATGGTGGTGTGGCACAGGTGCCAAAAAGTTCCCTATAACCTGGAACAGTTGGAGAAACCAGGACCCAGAGAGTCCCAATTAGGGAGTCAAGGGGCCATGACAGGGGGTCTGGTAGCCAGAGCAGGAAGACAGGACACAGGCATGCTGGCAAGCATTTATTGGCAGGGGACACCGGTGGTCAAAAGTCTTCAGCGTCCAGCTGGCCAGCAAGCACACAGAGCCCGACGCTCAGCCTGCAGCAGGAGGGCTTCCGTCTGCAAAGGAACCAGAAGCCATCAGGGTTTGACAGAGCCCTCAAGGGCCACCTTACCACGCCTCCAGCTCCAGGCTTCACTCTCCACTCTCCAGATTCCCTCCTGGGACTGCGTGGCCTCCTTACCCTGCCCCTCCACCACCTGTTCCCTCTAGCTCCCACTGCTGAGATTCCTGTGACACCCACCCCAAGCCAGGGCATCTACTCCTGCCATATTCCAACTCACCCACCACACCCACCATTCAGGCTCCTGTCAATGCACCTCCACCCCACAATCCCCAAGAAAAGTGGGAGTATGGGCATCGTGGGAGGCACTCAAGGTCTCCAGATAGGGGAGGAGGTCCAGGCACAATCTTCCCTTCCTCCTACAGCCGGGAGTTCTCTTTTCCGGAAGGTCAACTCCCTTGGCTGTGCCCTAGAACTTGAGGGATCCATGTGAGCACAGCCAAGAGGGCCTGACTCTCCAGGACACACACCCAGACCTCTGGCCCAACCTAGTTTCCCACGCCTCGCTCACCATGCCCTCTTTCCCCAACCTCTGTTTCTTCTTCCTACCCTGGAAACATCCCTTACCCCGGATCTTGGTTTAAGGCTACTGGTACACACTGCCACCACAATCACAGGACAAAGTGCCCTGAGATCTCTGCCGGTGCTAGACCGAGAGTGCTGGGCACGGGGGCGTCTGGGTAAGACCCAGACGCACTAGGGTAACTGCAGCCTGAGAAAGTGGCTCAGGAACCGTGCCACGGATGGGGGTGTAAGGTAGGTCTTGGGATGCGGCCCCTCCTTTCCGCCTGGAGACGCCCGAGCTCCCAGATCGCGTGCACTCACCCGCGCGTCCAAGCTGTAGGCCGTTTTCCGCAGGTCCTGAAGAGCGCGCTGCATGAATTCAAACGCGTGGCAGTCCACGCACGGACGGCCTGCCGGGACCCGGATGGGCGACGTCGGCTGGCGGACGCACCGCGCCCCAGCAGGTCCCCACGGCCCGCCCTCCGCCGCCCACCCGGGAACAAAGGCGCGGACGGCCGCGCACGCCCCCCTCGCCGGCACCTACTCTGCGCGGGG